TCCGACGGGGTGCACCTTAGACCTTCAAGTCATCGCTCCATCAGCTGATCAGTTTATTTGTTCACTTGACTGATTCTTCAGAGAAAAATGGCTGCCAACTCACCGAAAGACAAGTGAGTAAAATAAAGAAGTGAGAATATTTTCACATTCATGCACAAAAAAGACAAAACAATCAGCAGTGACTGAGTATGTTCAGAAGTTCTTAGAAGTAGACATCACTGCTGATGATGAGTTATTATATATAATCAATATAACAAATGTGACAGATGATCAGATGTTCTTTAAAGTTTTGTTGTATCAGAAAAACAAAACTTGTAATCAAATAAATCAACAGGGACAGATTTTAATGTGATAAAGCTGCTGTTAGTTCAGCTCAGTTCGGGTTAGTTTTTAGTTTCTGATCTTTAAACATTTTCATAAAGTTTCAAGTGGTTTGTTGACGTTTGTGAACTGAGTGAAAAGTGGCTGCAGGGTGACGATAAGCAGTGACTGCAGCACAGAGATAAACTGATTATCAATAACACACCCTACACACACACACACACACGCACACAAATAACATATTTAGCAGTGTATATGAATATGGATGTTGCACACAGACAGATGTTTGGAACATGTGGACTGGTTGTGTGTGAGTGTATTACTATAAAAGACTGCATTGTAAAGATGGCAGCTGGGATCAAGGAGCATCCTGACGCTGCATCATGCAGAGAGTGGGAGGGGTTCACCAGCATGGGTGAGGATTTAGCAGATATCCTAACACGTGAAAAGGTCTGAAGGACCTTGTTTTCCTCACTGTCAGCTGTACAGAAAACAGAAAGGGCACCCATCGAAGCTTTGGCAACTTCAAAGAGTACCTTCCTGCAGGGAGTGGTTGTGGTAGCAGAAAACACCAGGAAAGGCCAAAGAAACTCGGCCAACATCCCCTAATGACAAGGACAGACAAGATAGACTAAAATGGGCATAATCGCTCATACTGACATGCCAGACTCCAAAAGCTCCCACCAGGTGGCAAGAGTACAGACATCCTTTACTTAAGACGTACACATACTAGTGTTGAAAAATACTCCAAGTAATAGCTGAAGTACTGATTCAACTTTACTCTGATACTCTGAATCTTTACTGAAGTAAGAGTGAAAATGTATTCAGCTGAGTAAGAAAACAAAGGTTACTCTTTGGAGGACGTTTCTCCCAGGTGTTGGTATGAAGGTGGAGTTCAGTGAACGAGTCTCTGCTCCACTTGATGTAAGCTAACTGTGACCATGAACCCACAGCCACTGTGCAGCAGTCACACTGTTCTTTACTTTAAACCCATCACAGTGCAGCAAACTAAGTTTCAGGAAGCATTTGAATTTTCTCTCTAGCCCAAAAGACTTGAGATCTTGAACGTGACGAGCACAACGAAGGCAGGACTGATTTTTCTGTCTGTTCAGACAGCAGCTGTTTGTGAATGGACCGGTTTTACTCAAGCACTTTATACAACATACCTCATTCAGCCATTCATACAAGCACCTCTTTCTAGACCTACATGCTTTCTGTCTAACATGCACATGCCAATGAGTGTATCAGTATCTTGGCCAAGACACATACAGACTGCAGACTGGAGCAGCTAGCAACCAACAACCTTATAATTAGTAGATGACCTGCTCTACTTCCTGAGCTACAACCAAATCCAATGCTAGTGTCACGATCCTGGGTCTTATGACCCAGCGTTTTGAGTTTTAGTTCATTTTTGATGTTTATAGTTTATGTTTAAGCTCATTAGATTTCTATGTTCATTTGCTTATTATATTCTCCTTGTGTTTTCAACCCTTGTGTTAAGTCTCCCTTATACTTCATGTGTTTCATGTCTGTTTCTTATGTTGTCAAGTTCATGTAGTCATGTCAGTGTTTCATTGTTTCCTATTTTATTTTGAAAGAGGTCCTGTGTTT